CTCTCCCTCCCTCCCTCTTTCCCTCCTCTCCTTCTGACTTCTTCTTCCTCTTCCTCTTCCTCAGGTTTCGGGACTCACGTCGAACTCTGGAAGGACGCGCTCAGCGAGCGAGCCACATCCCCGTACATGACCCATCACACCAAGGCGAAGCAGTCGCTTGCTTGTCCTCCTCCAGCTGACCTTGAGCAGGGCATGCGAGTCAAGGACGTCTACTTCCGCCCCTTCGAAGACGTCCTCGGCATCTCTCACTCCCACGGCTTCAGCAGCATCTTGGTGCTCCTCCTCCTGCTCCTGCTCCTCCTCCCCCTCCCCCTCCTCCCCCTCCTCTCCTCCTCTCCTCCTCCTCTCCTCCTCCTCCTCCTCCTCCTCTCCTCGTCCTCCTCCTCCTCCTCCTCCCTCCCTCCCTCCTCCTCCTCCTCGTCCTCCTTGCCGTCTCTGAGCTGATCATGGTGAAGGTCCCTGGCTCAGGAGAGCCTAACTTCGACTCCTTCGAGGCTAATCCGTTCCAAAACAAGAAGCAGAGACGAGAAGCAGAGGTGAGAGAGGAGAGGAGGCGAAGGCTGAGACGAGGCCAGGAGAAGTACAGAGCAAGGGATGAGGCGGAGGAGAGGAGTGAAAAGAGGGAGGAGAGGAGGAGAGGAGGAGAGGAGGAGAGGAGGGAGGAGGAGAGGAGGGAGGAGGAGAGGAGGGAGGAGGAGAGGAGGAGAGGAGGAGAGGAGGAGAGGAGGAGAGGAGGGAGGAGGAGTGGAGGAGAGGAGGGAGGAGGAGAGGAGGAGAGGAGGAGAGGAGGAGAGGAGGGAGGAGGAGAGGAGGAGAGGAGGGAGGGAGCGTTCAGCTACTGATGTGAAGCAGATTCATGCGTTGCTGGAGAAGTTGGATCCCGACATGATTTCGCTCAACCCCAACTTCATCGGCAACGTCGACACTTACGGTGAGGAGCGATGGGGAGCTGACAGCCCGTCTCACTCTGCACAGACAAGGACGTGATAGCGGAGGAGAGGAGACTAGCAAGAGAGGAGAACCTGACTGAGCGCCAGCGACAGAAGAAGGAGAAGCGACATGCCAGGTGCTGCTGACGCCTCCCCTGCTCGCGAAGCTGACGGTGAGAGTGAAGGGGGAGGGATCGAGCAGGCAAGCGATACAAGAAGAAACAGTTCAACGTGATCGAGGAGCGGAAGGAAGACGCGAGGAGGTGAAGGCACTTTCTCTTCAAACCCCTGGATGTGACGCACCGCAGGCACATTGCGGGCAAGAAGGAGGACAAGGAGGACAAGGAGGACAAGGAGCCGGTCGGGGTGCTCGATCGTTTTCGCGTTAAGCTTGACTAGTCTTGTACAATATGTGAATAGAAGCATTTGCTTACATGCTCATTTGCTTATATGCTCATTTGCTTATATTTACACACACACACGCTCTTCTCGGCTGCTCGCAAGCCTCAAGAAAGTCTGGCACGGTCATGATCCAAGGGCTCAAACGGCCTCGGACTCCTGCATGGCAGAGAGCTGCTTGTTGAGGTCGGCGATCTGCTTCATCGTCGACGAGATCTCCTGGTCCTTCTCGTGCACTTGCTCGTCCATCTCCCGGCTGTCGGGCAGCCTCCTCCCATCGTCATGGTGGTCCCAGCGAGGGTTCATGTAGTCTCCTTCCGCCCTCTTCCCCTTGCTCGGACGCATGAAATCTCCGTCCTCTGAATACTCCATGCGGCTCTCTCGCGTCTTCGACGGTCGGATCTGAGGGACGACGTCACGATACCTGACGCTCTTGAGCTCATCGAGCCAGACGTCTCGCTTGTCCACCCCCAGCTGGAACTTGAGCAGGGCGAAGCCGTACACAGACTTGGCGGCGACGTCCATGATGACAGTCATCACGTGGGCTGCCAGCTGGGAGATGGCTCCGAACTCGGTGAGAAGCCAGAGGGCCGGGTAGCCGCACCAGATGCTGAAGTAGAGGGTGAGGGAGAGCTTGAGAGGCGCTCGGATCTTCTTCGCGTCCTCGTTGAGAAACTGCTGGAACCGCGCGTAGACGAGGCGGATGATGCTGATCCACGTGAAGGCAAAGATGAAGCAGCCGAACATGAACCAGAGGTACCGCGCGGGAGGCTCGAACGCGTTGC